GTCCCACCCACCCCTCCCTGTCACGTTCCCCCTCCCTCTACTCCAGGGCCAGCTGTCCTCCGGATGGGGGTGGAGGGAGAAGAGCTGTCACCTACGGTCCCCTCTTCCGCCTCTGGGCTTCAAGGGCTAAGGTGCTATTGTCCCCGGTCCTGATTCCTGAGGGGCGTATATTCTCGTGTGTCCTGAGGGGTATATAAACCTTTAACTACTCAAGAGTTTTCACTGCTTTCCAGGCTCCAGATAATGAGGGCTGCTCCCAGGGACCATCTCCCCACCGTGGCAGTTAGAGGCACGTTGTCGAGGCAGTGACAAATGTGGTCTCTTTCTCCTCTGTCGCCTCCTGCCAGGTGCCTCTCATTTCCCCCTTGTAAGTGGCCCCGTGGTTAAGAACACCGGCCTCTTGATCTTCTAGGTCTGTCTTTGAGTCCTACCTCTGTCCTTCACTAGCCAGCTGATCTGGGAGGGCAAAGCCTTCAGTTTTCTCGCTGATGGAACAGGGCCAGGGTGGCTGTGAATCTTAGATCAGGTAAGGGGAGAGGGTGTCATTCCTAGCACAGTGCCTGACCCTTAGCTCTCAGTAAAGGGTGGCTACTGTTGTGAGCAGCAGCCCCCTGCCCTGCGGGAGGGGTGTTAGCCGCTGGCCTGAGGCCGGGAGCCCAAGGGGAGAGGCTTCGGGAGAAGGCGAGCCCCCTGCCTGCGGATCTGCCCGGGGAGGCAGAACCTGCAACTCAGTAAGACTCCAAGTCCTTGCCTTACTGGGCTCCCCAACACAGGCCATGTGACAGGGACGTGAGAACAGGTGGCTTACATGATCCCAAGAAGCAGAAGTGAGGGAATCTGAAAAGAGACCGTAGAGAGAGAAAAGCCAGAGAAGCGCCAACTGCTGGGCTGGTTCGCGCCAGGGGCAGCTGAGGCTCTGTCCTCTGTCCTCTGGGAACCCGAGGAGCCCCTGGACGGCATACGTCATCTTCCCGTTGCCTCTGCCCCCTCGCGCCCATTTGAGACTCGCCCCTGGGGGGGTCATCTTCGGCTTTGTGCCACCTCTGCAGGCCACTGAGCGGCAGTGTCGAGGATCCGTTTCGTGAGCAATTGTCCTTTCGAGCAAGACGTTTTTAAAATCCGAAAGCACACTTCTCGCTGCCCCTAACGAGGTGAACCGGATTCTTAGCTCTCCGGAACGGTGCTGCACTGTGACACCCCGACAGACATGTTTATCCCCGCTCTGAAAGGATGAAGTGCAGACGTTTCCAAAGCTGTGTGACCTGCGTTTGACAACCCGGACCTGGAAGCTGCAGTGGCTTGGCTATCATCTGACCGTGTGCTCAGACCTCCGCAAAGGGAGCTTCTCAAAGAATTTGGAGCTTAAGGAGCAGCCTGGTTTGCTCTGTTGCCCTTGTGCCACAAGTTCCCCCGAAGAGCTAAGGGGCCCCCAGGAAGACCAGCGGGGGCAGCAGGGAAGACCAGCGGAAGAGGCAGGGGCACCAGAGAGGAGGTGGATCAGCTAGATGTTTGTGGAGCGACACGCCTCAGAGGCAGATCTCCCTTTCTCGCCCTCAAAAGACACAGCTGCCCTACTTCTGCAGCCAACTCTGCCCGGATCTGGGACATGAGCAGCTAGCTTTCTGCTTTTACAAGAACAGCGGACGTTAGGCCTCGCTGCCTCGCTGCTCTAGCCATACACGAGATGGCACGCGTACCATTGTCGGTGCCATTGTCGGCTCAGACTTCCTCGTCTGCTGGAGAAACAGGCGAACGGATTGAAAAGAACAGGTTCTACCGAATCTACGTCCCCAACAAACCCTCAGCCAAGAAACTAACTTGGCGTGACTGTCGACGTAAGCAGCGATAATATACCTGACGCTTTTTTTTTTTAACGTTTATTTATTTTTGAGACAGAGAGAGGCAGAGCATGAACGGGGGAGGGTCAGAGAGAGGGAGACACAGAATCTGAAGCGGGCTCCGGGCTCTGAGCCGTCAGCACAGAGCCCAACGCGGGGCTCGAACTCACGGACTGCGAGATCATGACCTGAGCCGAAGTCGGACGCTTAACCGACTGAGCCACCCAGGCGCCCCACCTATCTGACACTTATTTTCTGTCTTTCCTATCCAGCCTACACTTGAACATCTCCAGAGATGAGGGTGTGCCCCCTCCCCCTGCAGCCTGCCTGAGTATCGGCGGCCCTTACTGTCTCCCCTAGATGCATCCAAATCTGCCTTCTAGAGCCTCACTCATTAGCACTGGTTCTAGCTCCTGGGCCCCGCAGAATTTACAGGCAAATCAGGTTCGTCCCTCTTCCACATGGTCTCCCCTGGGTCTGCTCTTCTCCAAACCGAGGCTTTTCGGTCCCACGATACTCATCTGGGGGTGCCCTGGCGGTTGTGGTGGCTCTCCTCAGTCCCACTCCGTCTCTCCCTCTCGCACTCGGTTAGAATGGAGAGCCATGCCTCAGTGTGGACTGGCCAGTGCAGAGGCAGTTGGGGCCGCCTCCTCCCTGTCCCCACCACAGCCTACAAGGCCCAGCCCACAGTCTGCGGGATGGATTCTTTTGGCTCGGTTTTCACGGTTCTAGATATACCGACATCAACTGAGCCTATAGCCTTTTCTCTCCACGTTCCTCAGTCCTGCCAGCAAGACTTAAGCATCCTGGGAGACTCCTGCTAGCCCTTACCCTTGCCTGCCATTTTGGCTCTGGAAGGACCACGGGGGCCGGCAGTGGTGCGGGGAACCGGCAGGTCATGAGGGCAGGAGAGGGGCCTTTGGCCCATCGGCCACACAGGCCTCTACCGCCTCACAAGAGTGGACTGCCTCCCTTCAGGTCTTTTCCTACCACTCTTCGGCCTGCTTGCTCCCCTCCAGCGTCAGGACTTTGGGCTTTTCTTACTATTTATTCCCAGCACCGCAAACAGGGTCAGGATTGCTGAGTGTCATGATTATTCATTCAGTGTTGAATCTTGAACGCTAGAAACTTCGCGTACAGTATTGTAGTATGAGACCAAAGTAGCTCTTCTGGAGAATTCACCAACCTGTCGATTCATTCTGAGATTACGGACAACTAAAACCAGCCTGACTCTGGTAACAGCTGCTGTTAATCCATACCTTCTCTCTATCTACATGGGTGCTCTTGGGACTCAAGTACAGGACTCTGAAATCACATCTACTAAGTGGGATTAGTTGATTATCCTGTGAACATTTGTTGAATGGCTGCTGTTGTGCCAAGCACTGTTCTTGTGCTAAAAATAGAGCAGGGAGCAAGCCAGACTTGTGCCTGCTCTCATGGAACTTACGTTCTAATAACGAATGACTGATGTCAAACATGAAAACTCCAGCCACAGATAAGTGTACTGAGAAGACAGGTGCTGTGGTGGGAATAAGCAGGGGTGAGGGGTGGTTCCTTCATCTGGCACAGCTCCTTACGGAGGAGAAGGCCTGTGGGCTGAGGCTTGAAAGGCATTCAGCGACCAGCTCTTCAAAGGAAACAGAACCCATTCAAGGCACATCTAGAAATGAATTCTCTTCCACGAACAGTGACAAGGGGAGCGTGAAACAAGGAATCCAGAAACCACACCTGCCACCTGCTAGTCTTACGGGACTGTTGTCGTACTCTAAAACTCCACTCCCTGCCCGTGGTTGTTGGACAACGTGCCGAGGAGAAAATTGGGCCGCTGCAGAGGCCTTCTGCTCCGACTACAAAAAAAAGAGGGGTCCAAGAGTCAACTCCCCCCACCTCACGCCCACCCCGAGCAGCCACCGCCGGGAGGTGGGAAGCTTGGTAGGCTTCCCCTCGCTCTGGAGTGCGCGCGCCTGGCACCGGCCTCTGTCTCGTTTGCCGCCTGGTGTGGGGCCCCGTGCCCAGACGGCTCTGCAGGCGAAACTCTGGTTGGATGGTGGCCAAGAGGCCTGCAGAAGCCTGAGATTATGGGAGGAAAATAACAGGGAAGGACCCTTCCAGAAAACACAGGGAAAGGCCAGCTCAGGAGACAGAGGAAGGCCGTGTGGGCAGGTCAGCCCCTCCGTTGCCTGCTTTTCATAGGCAGTGCACGTTGCCCCCCACGCACGCTTTCTAGCGGTTCTCCATTTCTGGAGCTGAGTATTTAGTGAGAATGTGCTAGGACAAAAAGGAGGCTGAGAAATATGCTCCTACACACAGGGTTTTGCATAACTTCAGGGTTCAGGATACCTAAATCTTGGCTCTAAAAACCTCGCTCCAGGTTATACTAAACTCGATTGAAAGCCCCAAGGAGAGGATTCCTGTGACCTCCTTTTTTTTTTTTCTCTTTTCAGTTTAGATATATTTTATTCTGAAGCTTCTTACCGTGAGGAAAACATCCGTAGGATTTTAAGTTTATCTTTTTTTTTTTTTTTTAATGTTTATTTTTGAGAGAGAGACAGAGACAGAGACAGAGTGTGTGCTGGGGAGGGGCAGAGAGAGGGGGAAACACAGAATCCGAAGCAGGCTCCAGGCTCCGAGCCGTCAGCCCAGAGCCCGACACAGGGCTTGAACCCACGAACTACGAAATCGTGACCGGAGCCGAAGTCAGACGCTTAACCAACTGAGCCACCCAGGCGCCTCAGAATCTCCCAAGTTTAAAAGAAAAAAGGAGAATAACCATCGTTATCCCCTGCTTCTTTCAATGCACAGTGTTAGAAATCAGCTGGATGTGGAAGCTAAATCCCAGACTGCCCCGCTTCCTCCGTGTTCAGCAGAAATAGAACAGGAAGATGCTGGCACCTACAAATTATAGTGGTGGCCTGCAGGAGTGGAAATGGAAAGAAAGCCAGAGGGCTGGGTCAGTGTCACAGGCTGGCCTGCGCCTGCGGGAGCCCCAGCCCATCTGAGAACAGAGACTGAACCCTCCTCTTCCCGCTGGAGCGCAAAGGGCTCTAGGGCTTGCTCGGAGGCTCTGGGGGCCCTGGTGTCACCCCCCGCCCCAATCTCATGGATGAAATCCTCACCAGTGCGCTCGGCTGCCTGGGAGAAAACTAGTTCTCTTAAAGGAATTCTCTCGTGCTTAGTCTGCCTGATATCACACATCTGATGGTAGTTTATACAATTTTAATTTTATGTCTAGCAGGCCGATTTCGGGCTCTCTTAAGGATTCTCTTTCTCATTTTTGACTGCCTTTTTGTCCCCCATTTGGCTAATTCTTTAGAACGTTTAGAACTATTTTAATCAAGTAATGCAGAAATGCCTTAGACTAAAAACCTCTAACAGTGCTCTGATAAGTCTGGAGACCGAAAGATCCCTAAGATGTGAAAATGCTTAAGGACCATCGACCGTTACAGTATAAATGTCGTGTTAGCCATGCAGTCCTGCTTGGCTTCCCAGTGAGAGCTTTAGACAAATAGTTGAACTGATCTGGAACAATTTTCCCAGAACTATTTGAGCTGTCTTTTACTAAAGCCTCCCAGCATGAAAAGATTCCTGCCGACCCTCACCAAACACACTGCCTCCTTCCTTGTCCGACCGTCTTTGTTCGTTCATGTAATCATTCGCTAAGTCACTATATCAAGGACCTGCTACGTTTTCGGCACTGTGTTCAGACACAGCGGAAAGACTCGGCTAAGGCAACAAGGAATATGGTGTGAAACCAACAGCCATGGGAACACACTCTGTCTTTGGGGAGGGGTGGGCTTGGAAGGCTTCCTGGAGGTGGTGATGCACGAATAGATCAATGAAGGACTGAGAGGTCTTCAGGCAAAGAGTAGGGTAGGAAAGCATTCCCAAAGTTCCACTGGTGAAACCGCGAATAGTGGAGGGTGGCCGCAACGTAAAACTCTTGGGGGGGGGGGTGCTGTGGCAGCGAGGGGGTGACATCTGGAGTGCTGAGCAGCCATCGGATTCTACAGTCCCAGGATGCTCTCTAGGAGGGTTGGGTTTATCAGAGGACAGGGAGGAGGCAGTCAGGATTTTAAGCCGATGAGTAATACGGTCAGATTTACACTTGGGTAAGATGGCTTTGGCACCTCTTCTCCCTGGCACTGGCCCGGGGACTGCTGTGAGCTGGAGGGAGGGAGTGCGACAGAGGACGAGAATAGCCCGGATGGTGATGATAATGAAAACGATAATAGCGGGGACCATTTTAAGCCCCTCTAGAATCTGTCAGCTGTGCTAAATATTTTATGTATATGTTCACGTGCGATCTGCGTAATTATCCTCTTGGGGGAGGGGTGTCATTCCCACTTTACCGATGAGGAAATTGAGGCTCAGAGTGATTAAGCAACGTCTCCAGAGTCATTCCTCCAGCAAGGGGCCCAGCTAGGTTCCAAGTCAGATTAGGCACTCCTAAGCCTGTGCTCTTAACCACTGTACCATCCGGCAAGGGTCCTTGGTCTCAGCTTTCTCCTCTTCTCGGAGACCCCCTAGCTCACTTCACACACAGATTTGGTTTTCCGTATGTTTCTTTTCAGCCCTCCACGAAACATGTCCCAGACACCCTCTGGTTCAGCCCTCATGCTAAATACTTGCCTGTTTAGATATCAGAGGCCTGGCCTTTCGTTCCAGCTCAGTGGAGGTCAGGGAACCCCCACCCCACCCCCCACCCCCGTCTCTGTCAGCCGTGGCTGGAGGCCCAGCACCCGATCTGAGGGATGGATTCTTTCGGCTCGGTTTTCACTGTTCTAGAAGTGTCGACATCAGTGGAGTCTATAGCCTTTTTTTCTCCAAGTTCCTCATTCCTGCCAGCAAGACTTAAGCATCCTGGGAGACTCCTGCTAGCCCTTACCCTTGCCTGCCATTTTGGCTCTGGAAGGACCACGGGGGCCGGCAGTGGTGGGGGGAACCGGCAAGTCATGAGGGCAGGAGAGGGGCCTTTGGCCCATTGGCCACACCGGCCTCTACTGCCTCACAAGAGTCGACCGCTAGAGAGCATGCAAAGCACTTTGGTTTCCGCGCACACACTCTTAAAAATGTCTGAAGAAGGGTTTCTTACCTTGTGGTCTATGAACCCTAGTTGTACACAAACCTCACCTAAAACTATATTCAGAATCTCGTGTGTGTAAACAGACACGTATTTTTCTAGAGCGTTCTTAGCTTTTATAACATTCAAAAGGAGACCTATGACCCAGTCACAAAACCACAATAAAAGAGCAGCTCACAACTGCTGGGCACACCCTGTGTTCTACGCACTTGACTTTATCTAATCCTTGCCACGACGCTGCCAGCTCAGGGCTGTTGTTTTCCTCCTGGGACACGGAGTGTGAGGCTCCAAGTGAAGTGACTTTCCCTGGGGCATAGAGCCAAGCAGCAGCGGAGCCGGGCTCTGCGGGGGTCTGGGGAGTGGGCGGGCCTGGGACCCAGCATTCTTCGCCACCTAATGGCTCGGCGTGGAAGACGCTGAGGAGTCAGTGGAGACCCTCGCCAGAGCCACGTGTTGAAATGGCGTCTACACCACGTGTGCAGATGACAGGGGATGCTACTGTTCACTTGCTGCTCTCAAACTCTCATCACCTGGCTTTCAAGGACAAGTGTGAGACAGATTTCAGTGTATTTTTTTCCCCCGCCCGAAATATACCTTGGCTGACGTGAGCCATGTATTGTTTCAGACCGTTCCCTTTCGAGCAAAAGTAAAACAGCAGCTTTCAAAGGCTAATTGTTGCTTTAAACAGAAAACTTGTTAATAGTCCCCACTTCTTTAACAAGAAGATGAAGAAGAAAACGACAAAATGCTGTCTTCTCTCCTTCCTCCTCTAACTTGGGCCCCATCTGCCTTTCCTCCACACTGGGGTACAGGCTCCGTTCTTGACCAGTGAGCTGGCAATTGGTTAAGTCCTTGGTTTAGGTGCACCCGGAACAGTTTTGGGCGGCAGGAGGGGAAGATGGTGAATGTGTGGCACCGACCGGCACGTGACCGGTGGCAGGTGGCTGGGCGAAGCCCCGTCCCGCCGCCAGCCCGGCAGTTCCCCTTTGCTCAGGCGCTGGGCTATGGGATTCCAGCTCTAGCCTCCCTCCCCATGTCCACAGTCACCTCCTCACCTAGTCGCCTGTGCGAACCTCACCAGCCCTTACGCGGCGCATCACGGAGCCAGCGCAGCCCTGGGGAACAAGTCTTTCCGGTGCTACAGAGAGAAAGCCACCCCGGAGGAAAGGTCCAGAATGAAGGAAGCAGGAAGGGTCACCACGGCGACGGGCCAGAAAAAGGGGAGTAAAGTGGCCTGGCCCAGACCCCTTGACATGACAGAAGTGACCAGATAGGCACCTGGGCCCTGGACTCGGCCTGCCTGGGTTGGAATCCTCACTCAGCTATCTCCTGTCTGTCCTTGGACAAGTGATTGAACCTCTCTGTACTTTATTTTCCTTATCTGCAAAATAGGAATACTACACCTGTTTCATAAGATTGTAAGGAAGATGAAACGGATATCAAATGAGATCATCCTGAGTGCCTGGCAGTTCATAAGGCCCGATAAACATTAGCTGCTAGCATCATTATTCCATCGTCGTTATGGGTTGAATCGTGTCCCCCTCCCAAAAGATATTGAAGTCTGAACACTGTGAGGGTGACCTTATTGGACATAGGTCTTTGCAGGTGATCAGATTCAGATGAGGTCATTAGGGTGAGCTCTAATCCAATATGACAGTGTCTTTATAAAAAGGGGAAATTTGGACAGAGAGACAGACATGCATAGATAGAGGATGGGGTGAAGACACAAGGAAGCTGAGAGGGGAGCATGAACTGATTTTCCCTCACAACCCTTGGGAGGAACTAACCTTGCCAACACCTTGATCTTGGACTTCTGGCATTCAGAACTATGAGACAATAAATTTCAGTTATTTAAACCACCCAGTTTGGGGTACTAGGAAATGAACAGAGTCACCATCATTAGCACCCACAAGGACATCCACCTCTTGGGTGTGCCTTCTCGGGGGCCCTGAAGGAGCAAAGGCTTCCTGGAGAAGAGAGAAACTTCTATATTGAGGTCAAATTACTGGATCACAAAGCTACGGTATGAGCGGATCCAGTTCAGCAGTAAGGCGGCGGCTGGGCACGGCCACTCTCGGTGCCAAGCGGTCAAAGGCTCAGTAAACGCAGCCCCGCTGTCCCACGGGCCATCTCTTCCCAGGCTGTGCACCCTTCCTTCCTCCCAGGACTCTAGTGGCGTTCAAGCGGCCGCCTTCTGCCTTATCTCCACGGTATTCCCCTCCGTGCCTTTCCCCATAGAAACACACTGCGTTTTATTTCTTGTCATCCGATAACCTGGGATTGGTATCCCTAATTGTCTGTGGTGTGTTTGTCCCCTCCTGCTGATAGGTTATCGTGCTGTCCACGCGACTCCTGAAGCCATTTAACATTCCTGAGCTGTTATTTGCGACTGACCGGCTGCATCCAGACCTTGGCTTCTGAGCATCTGCAAGGATGACACTTACCTGAGCTGGAAATACCGATACGTTATCCTGTCACCGTTCAAGATACGCCTCCCAAACCGGTGTCCCCTTGCTAACGGTGGCCATGACAGAATTCTGCCTGAAGGGTCTTGGCAACCATGCGGCGAAGTACTTTGCTCGGATTCCCAACACCTTAAAAAAAAAAAAAAAAAATTACTTTCATTTTTCTAAAGGTGTCAAACTGTCTTTCAGCTGGCCACGTTTGACATCATCCCCGTTTCTCCTCAACCCTCTCTTTGTGGTCCTGATTCCTGTGATCCTGGATTCTGTGATCCTGGAATCTTCCTGATTCCAGCCACAAGCTCACTGTTTCTAAATAAACGCCTGTTGGCGAGTGTTGGTAGATTACAAGCCATTTGATCTGCAGTTGCTCAAGAAATTAGACATGCTTCACATCAGGAGTGTGAAAAAAGTTTGGTTTTCCTTAAGATTACGTAACTGGGGGGGGGGGGGGAGGGGAACATTGCAAATGGGATCTGAGACCTTGCTGAAGAGGCGAGGAAGGGAGGGAGGGGCGGGCAGCAGTTAGGACCGGGCTGGTGGTCCGCCTGCCGTCACAAAGTCCGGCACCCTCCCAGCGTGCTCACCAGGCCGGCCCACGTGTCTACTCAGAACAGAGGTGGGAGACAGGCTGACTGGAGGCCTGTCCCTGCCTGTAAAAGGTGTCCCCCCCCTCCCAAAGGAAGGCCCCATAAAGATCACCTGGTCCAGGGAGTCGAGACTGGAACCCCATCCCCTGGGACTTGTATTCAGTAGTGTTGCTGTCGAAATAGAGAGCTCTCTTTTCGGTTTGCCTAACTTTCCCTTCTGGTCATATCAGAAAAACCCAGTGAAATTGTTTAAGAACTCTGGCAAAAAGCAACTGCTTAATCCACATGCTCGCAGGTGTGTGGTTCACGGACCTCTCTGGCATCTCCAAAAGATGTTTGTAATAAAGAGGAAAAGCTGACAAACAGTTCGAGAGAGGGCAGAACAGGTAGAGGAAGTCAAATGTAGATCAAAACCCTCACGTGCCTCTGATTCTAGTTCTCTATAAAATAATGTTATTTTAGGAAAAAACCGTGAAGTTGGAAATCATTCTGAGATGCAATCAAAGCAGTTTTTATAGACACCGATGTTTTGGGGGTGGTTTTTTGTTTGTTTGTTTGTTTGTTTGTTTGTGATCCAAGTGTGTTTTCCACCTGAAACCGGTTCTTTCATGGTGCTGAAATATGGAGACCCCAGATGCTTCTTTCATTCCCCTAACCCAGAAGTCTGAACTTGAATAAGGAAGCAAATGGCAAGCCCAAAAGAAATGATCATCAAAGCAGACATCGCTATTTTCTAAAATTAAAAAATATGTACCCTGTTCTCTGTCTCAATGTACATTCATTCATCTGTTCAGCCATTCATTCATTCATTCATTTCCAAATACTGAGAGGCACGTCCCGGGCACCCTGCTAGGTTCCGGGCCATGCTCCTGAAGGAGCCAGCCGCGCCCCTGACTCTGTGGCTCTCACAGAACAAGCAGCTGGGCCTTCTCCCGGTGCCCCCGCCCTGTGTGAGCATCTGCTCCAGGTTAAGTGGTAAGCCATATGTCCGTATGCAAAGGAAACTTTCTGGAAATACAAAAACCAAACTGCTAACAAGTAGTTATCTCTGGGAAGGAGTCTGGGTGGGAGGGCTACGAAAAGGGAGAGGTGAGTCTCACTCTTGGTAGACTTCTGTGTGTTTCGAATTTTCTTCACGGCAAACGTGTAGTTGTGTACTACTTTTGAGGTTTTAATGTATTCTTACAAGTTAATTTTTTCTCTAAAAAAAGAATGTTCAAAAGCTGCTAGTCTGGAATTAACAAAAGAAGGGCGTTCCTGATTGTAAATGTTGTCCGTTAGCATTTACCATGCCCCCCAGATGCCCTCAGTACTATATTAAATATGGTCAAAGGCAGTCTCTGTGTGCGGGGAATGTCACAAGTTAGGTTTATCACCATCTTTTTCCATCTCTGTGGTCACTGGTTGGAGGAACTGAGCGAGACAGGCAATCAGGTAGTGGGAGGCTTTGGAGAAAAAAGGAAGTTCATGGTGGCCGGAACTTGGTTTGAATAAGAAGGTAGGAGACACAGGACAGAACCCTGTCCCTTGCATTAAAAAAGCAGGAGCCTAATGGAGACTTGGTATAAATCCTGCAAAGGGCCTTCATCAGATAAGGAAAAAGAAGGGACTCAGGAAATGGCACGTCGGCCCCCTTGTTAGAACCTCCTAAAACCTTCTTGGTGTTGCCTTCTTGTGCTCACTGCCAGGGAGTGGGAGAGGACAAGGGAGAAAGGGATTATGTTCTTGACCTCCTGTGAAGGTCGGTGAACAGAGTTCCAAAATCTTCCCTGGGTTCGGTCTCATCTGTGCTCACAAACAGCGGTTGTGGACCTCGCGGAGCCTCAGTGCCTCCATTTGGAAATTACGCACGCTCACGGAAGGTACCTACCTCACGAGAGAAGCTGCTGTGGATGGAAGCCAGCCCCAACACAGCAGCTAGCACGTGATGGCAAGGACTGGGCCTTTACCAGCGAGGACAGCAAAGAGGTCTCCTCGCAACATGATAAAGTCTCAACAGAATAATGTCAAACGAAGAGAAAGTTCAGAGGCATTGCTGGGAGCCACGAGATGAGGAAATAGAGGAGGAAGAACGCGTTGGTGCCACAGATTTCCAAGACAGGAGAGCCCAGAGGCCAGGCGCTGATGGCCTGGGTTCCAATCCCACCTCTTCCACGCTGCAGTTCACTTCTTCGGTTCTCAGCGGACCGTGGAATCAGATCATAGGGCCGACCTCATCGGGTTGGCGTGAGAAATAAAATAATAAATCCGTGTGAAGCACTTAGGACATGGCACATGGCAAAGCTGGCCAAGAGCCTGTAGGAATCCCCATTATTGGTGGTAAATGTCTAATGATGGCTCATTCAGGGCCTCACGTTGTCTCCGACAGCAGCTTCTCCATCACGAATGAACGTTAGCCCCGAAGTCTGGGTGGATTCTGAGCTTGACCTCCTTGAGGCTGACACCCGATTCAACCACATGCCAATGTGCCAATTCTAAAGGGATCTGGGCTGCCTGAAGGTGGCTTCCAAGACGGCCGGGCTGTCGTACTGGTTTCTTCTCTCTCCGGCCTGGGTCTGAGTGTTGCCACCTGAACTCTGGCTGGCGGGGACAAAACAAGCACACACAGATGCGGCCCTTCTGCCAAGGACCTCACAGGCCACTCTCCCCAAACACAGTTGATAGAGGTGTAAATACTGTGCAGCAATTGACTTCTGCCTTGGTGAACCTTCCGTCTGGAGTCCGCTTTGCGGCAAACAGCGCGGGCTCGCCGAGCGTTTGGAAGCACCCCGGGGGCCGTGTCCGCCAAAGGTTGTCCCCAGAGGGCCAGGGCTATGGAAATGGCTCTGTTTACACCAGGGCCCCTTCCATTCCAGTGTTATCCCAGTAACAAAGAATTCCGTCAAGCTCCCCTCAAGACCACTCTTGTTTATTTTAGCTTGGTTAGCAGAACCAGAATTTCAGTAACAAATACTCCAGTATTATAAATGTCTGCCATCCCTCCTTAAGAAACATTAAAAAACTCCTCGGTCTCTCTCTCAAAAGGAATG